GTAGTGTAATGTTCTGTCCTTTGTGTTGACCCACGTTGTAATTAGTACATTGTATAATATTCGTAAAACATCTTTGATTCCCTATGTTATTTTCTGACGTCCAAGGACAATTACATTGTTGACCACGAGGCTGACAGAGCCGCAGTGGTACAAATTCCAACAGCACAAAACACTGCAATTGTCGTTTTCGTCCGCCCACTTAGATTACTGATGCTGGAAGAATATCTCGTTTTACTCATTTTTTATCAGTCTCGTTCTCGGGTGTAAGTACATGCTTTTCAACACTTAAAACAGCAAACAATAATTATGTAGGTTTTGACGAGACACAAAGTCTTGTGCTGCAAGAAATATAACACCGCTGATCAATTAGGTCTTGGTAAAAGCGGTTGATCTCACAGGAGATCTTCGATACTGTCTCGCTCATTCAACACCAAATGGATCAAATTGTTTCTTAAGGCAAGTACAAATACAGCCATGAAATGATGGGTTTTTAGTTCGTTACCGCAAATGAGACTGAATGAAAAAAGGCCGTTCCTGAGTATTTTATTGTCACTCCCAACTTGGGCATTATTTAGTCCGCGGTTGCGTCAGGCGATGTAATTAAATCGAATGTTCTGAAATGTGAAAGGTCGAAAAATAGGAAACATGATATCTCTGATACCATTATGTCTGATTGTAATCATCACATTTTTTAGATGGATTCTTGTTAAATGCTGATATGCGTTAACCTCAATTTATTAGCAGTTATTGTTCGATAGTTTGTGAGTAGCGGTAACATCCAGTTACCTTGCATAACGTCCTGCGTTATCATATTGCAATCTGAATCTGGATTTAGATCGGACCACCTGTCTCTGCTCTTAACGAGAAGTTGATTTATCCATGCAATATAACTGTTTTATCCTATACTAGCTCGCCTGTGTTCAGCCCGTCAGTAGATACAGGGTGTATCCTACAGATGAAAAGCTGTGCCAGAGATTAATTTACAGGATGATGTTTTAAAAACTACAGGCACGCATTTAAAACCTTTACGCCCAAATAAAACCTTCATTAATCTGTATTTTAAGTAGCTTCAGTAGGGACGCCTGTAAAGTTATGTAGACCTCAGAGAGGATCATGTTGAAATATATTTAGCAACTACCTCTATCATAGTTTTCCAAAAGAATTAGGCTCAAAACGGTTGAATCGCAATTCCTACTAAATGACTCTATTGTCGGTTCTATCGAGTTTGTCCATTACGAAACCATGTCACACCTTTGTTCTGGACACCCCACTCAGATATACACTGTTGGTTTATCCCCTCAGCGAGTGAGTGAGTGAGTTTAGTTTTACGTCGCATTTAGCAATATTCCAGCAATATCACGGCAGGGGACACCAGAAATGCAATTAAATTAATGGTCTGGCGTTTTGGGTGGAAGACAACATGTAGAATCCATTGCAACCATTACATTGCCAGTTCACTGAGAAGAATGTATCCTTCGCAAAGGTAGGATAGTGCATTGCATGACGTTGAAATTGATTCCGCGCGTAGCGGCACACGCCTTGCTTATAAGACTCTCACGTCGGTGTAGCAAGTCGCACTACACTTGATCGCGGACAACCTGGGACCCCTTCCCTAACAATGACAGGCGCCAGTGGGCGGCACTCATACATGCTAATACTGTTCAACTGTCAGGTCGGTCCTCAACTTATCCTTGTAGTCTGTGAGCTTAGGGATATTTTCAGGACTTTTGGTTCAGATTTTTTCAAAAGTACCAAATTTGGCACAGAGGTAGCTGAAGGCATACTAAATCGATTCCAGACGGGCGCCAAGATGGCCGCCACAGGGGACCAAACAAAAAATGGCCGCCACCCCGATTTAAGATTTTTTTCCTACGGTTGTATATGGTCATGTCACATATCAAACGAAGGATAATGACAAGAGCTTTGTAATGATGTATAAATGAATTTACTGTAACCATTGTGACAAAAGTTATTACCAATATAAAATTTAGAGAGCTGACCGAAAACTTCAAAATATTATACAAAACCCATCAAAATTCATGCAATAATTGGAATTTGAAGATATTTTCAACTTGGAAATTGTCAATTCAGTGGTCGGTTTTATGAGGAATCATAAAGTAAGTGACTTAAAATGGAATTACGTAGAAATAATATTTATGTTTTAGTCCTAAGCTTTTTTACCTATAAAAAATATCCAGTCAATAGCGAGTCAGAGTACACCAGAAATAACAATAGTATACACAGAATGTATATATTGTACTTGCACATGACTGTCAGTGAAAGATATAGTAACTATTTTACCTAGTTACTGTCAGTATTTGTGCATCCTCCTTCGCATTGGCAGAGGACTGTACATCGTACACCAGCACGGTTGCATTTACACTTTCCCACACAGCCCTTTTTGCAACCACAGTGTAGGAGGATAGAACATGCTGCTGAAGCATCATTGAGGGTGGTCCATAGAGGTTGCCAGTTATTGCTGTCGTCTCTCTGCCAACCCCAATCACTGAAGTCAGGGATTTCCTAGTAAGCAATGGTTGCCTGCTCCCAAAAGAAACTCGTCTGCAGAATAGATCGTTTCACATGTTGAAACAACGCAGCTTGAGTAGGCGGGAGTTTTTCCAATGACCTGCTTCCAGTAGTGAAAAGGCGATGCCTTGCTTCATTTATATATCATAGCTCTTTTTATTGTCTTTCATTTGATATACAACATGATTATGTACAATTTAGGACAATTTATGACTAAAAAATTTCTTAAATCGGGGTGGCGGCCATTTTGGTTTTTTTCCAATATTGCCGCCACTGGGGGCGGCCATCTTGGCGCCCGTCACGTTTTAGATGTAGGAACGACGAATGACAACAGTGTTTGTTGGCAATCCCGTTGTCTACACTTACACGTCTTATTACAACCTACTCAAAAAGACGGCAAAGCACATCGTCATCAATAACGAGATTTTAAGAAGGTCGCTCGAAATCAATTCTGGAAAAAGCTGATTGCGTATCAAACGCTGTGTTCCTCGTTCCAGATTACAGACGTCTTTATACCATTTATTATCTGCCATAAATATATCGCCCAGGTGCATTAGAAATTGAATGTTTTACATGTGCAGACAGTGGAAAATACCAATAAACTAAATGTTGTCAAAACAAGGAAGAAAAATCATATTTGCATTAAATGCAAATCCAAAACGAAATGCTCACACTCTTTTCCAAGTGCACAGATAAGTAATAACATAATGATAAAGTGTTAACTCCTACTTCCTCTCTGGCCCCGGGGATAACAAAGTACATACAAGTTCCAGATTCCTACTCAATATCTGCTCGAATGCCCGATTCCCTTCTTTCCCCCCTGATAGCTACAGGAGTGCGAATGGGTCATGATCAGTCGCCTAAGACGTCACAAGTACCTGTGAAAACTTTTGGCACTAGGCAAGCTAAAAGTATTATCATAGGTTCGAATCCCAGTTCTCCTTGATTGTGTTGCTTGGTGTTGTGGCATTGTACCCGAGTTCGTTTGTCGTACCACAGTGGTAGCAATTTGAGATGAGTCAAGATGATTCGTAGTAATATTGCTGAAATACTGTTCCACGTGGGGTTCTAACAAACTTATTCACTCATATATTACTCCAGAGTGAGCAAGAGTGTTATGTTCGCCTTCAGTAATATTCCTGAAACACCACAGTGGGGGACATCAGAAATGGCAATCACTCGTTGTACCTTCAGCCTGACGAGCTGACGCTCTACTCACCAGTCTTCCACATCGCCCCTGTTATGGGCAGTATTCATGCTCCCCTCGGTTTGATCAACGTTATTCTTGTTCTGTGTCAGGTTGGTCTTTTCCAATTACACTGCGCTGGAATAAGCGAAACACTGTTCCAAGCGGCTTAAATCGACAGCTAATAATGTCACGCTCACTTAGTAAATAAACAATGTCTGCGTGTACAAGCCGTTATAATATTTGATTTGAATGTTTTAAGCAGTGTAGTTGGGACACAGTATGAGGGTCACAGAATTCGTGTTACATTTCACAACTTTTGAAGAACAATTGAGCGTGCTCGGAGTGCGTCATCCGAATCTTGCTCAGAATTTGTTCCAACAAGGTTAAAACATTGAAGGCTTTTGTAAAGATGCCAAAACGTTTTATGGTGGACACGTGGAAGACGTGTCAACATTGATGCAACAGTGACACAATTGATGCAAATCCCATGTTGTTTCAGGAAAACATTTGATTTTGGACTTGGCTTGTGACAGGAAACGCTCACCGTTGCGAACGGGGTCTTCTCGTTTATCCACCACCTATTGTTCTAGGTGGACAAGTCACTGAAGCGGAATAATCCTCAAGACAATAGATGTCCCTGAAATTTTGTTCCCTGTGAAATAAGATCCCCCCCCTTGAATGTAGTAGTAAAAAAGTAAGTCTTTCTACATTTTTTTTTATTTCAACAATACATACAATATCAAAATTAACAATACATTCAATATCTATGACAATCCTCAATAGCCTGTTAAATGGGATACTGCATCCCAATATGCATATACATCCATATGGCCAGCCAAGAATTGCTGTTTGATGTTACATAATCTGTTTGTTAAATTGACATATTTAACTTTCTTGCGAGGAGGTTTGGCACCTCCTCTTAATTGCATACATGATGCCTCTACGTAAGATTGTTCTTTTTTTCAAGAATTCAATAATCTTGAAGATATTGGGATGGTTTTCTAAACAGGAAAGCTTCCTGTGCCAGCCCTCAACATGATTAGTAGTGCGGGGGCCTTCGGTGGCGAAGTGGTTCCACATGGTCCTGCCATGGTCACCCTCCACCCAGTACGATGTCATATAGTCTGTAAACTGTTCCACCCCAGGAGGTGCATCTTCCAGGGCCTGCCACCACACATCACTCACACAGTCCACTGGTACCAGGGGCAAAGCAATCGCTCGTCTTACAAGACGACCTATGTCCGGGTTGTCCTTATATTCAGTTACCATTCCAAGCTTCTGAACTTTTCTCCAAACACTCTGGCTAAAGTGAAAGTAGCAACCCTTTAATATGGCATTTTGAAAAGTCATCTTGATGGCGTTTTGAGCAGCTGACTCAAAATCAGTGAACACACTCACTGGATCCAATACAATGTTCTTAGAGGCCGCTACATTCTTCACATTTTCAAAGAAACGTTCATATGTCGACTGCTTTTTATCTGGGAGCAGACCATACACCAAAGGGCACATCTTATTTTGCACAAATGCATGAATGGTGTAAAGCTGGGTGAACACACCAGGGCACTTGTCAAATGTTCCGTCACAGTAGTACACATCTGCTTCGGAGAGAAGTCGCAGGTTCTCGTCAGTCGCGAAGGTCAGGATCTTGTCATGGTCGCCGTGAGAAAACAGCAGGAAGTTGTCATTGGCATGCGTCTTAGTATATGCATCGGGAAGATCTATTGCTGATCTAGTTGCTGGCAGATGGGGATGTCTTTGGCTCGGGAGCGGTATAGAGCAGGACGTACACTGTCAAAGATGGGCACTTCTGCAATGATGTCAGGATTCATCACTCTCAGACCTAGAACAGAGAAACACAATGTTAAATTCAAAGAAAACTGTTGTAGTATTTTAGTATTTAATAGTAATTAAAAAGTTGCCAAGTATTTATGTTAATATTTACCTGATAACTCCTCCTGATAAAGAGATGGAATTGGTTTGGAATCTTTTCGGACAAGGTCCTTAAGATTGGCCAAGAAAGAATCTACAGCGATTCTATTCTCCACAGATGCATGGTTATGCTGGTCTCTGTAGGACGTGAGAATATTATCTTTGGTGTTAACCGTGGCATGGCAGTTCTTCTGGGCGCAGTTCAATGGACAGATGTTCCTCGTCTTCTTTTAACTACAAACTTGTAATTTTGGAACACTAAGTACTGACCACCTCTACCATTAGGAATAAACTGGACATTAACCTGTTGGTTAGCCATCGTGACTGACCTTAAAGAACCTCATGTACCATTTTATAATCGTGTAATAGTGAAAAGTGTTCACTGAATTAAAAAAACACAAATAGCATAATCGACACAATTTAATTAAAGTTCACGAACACTGTTCACTGTAACAGGGCAAATCAGCTAATTAGTGTCACCCACCAGGACCAAATTTCAGAGTGAGCAGTGTAATCACTAACCCGTGTCAACTAATCCCATCTAATCCCTTATCAAAACTAAAGGGTGGTGGATAAGTGAGAATGAACCTTGCGAACACCTGATATCATCGCTATTTGTATTATGATTCATAAACACATGCTCGTAAAATAGAAGTAACTATACAATCGACTCCGCTTTTAGCAGAGATTCCTTAGGGCCGTGGAAAGGGTTTGTCACCCTTATTTCATAAGACGATGTCCTCCGCTAGTGGGGCTGAAAGTATTTTTACAAGATCACGATCTGCTCTCGAAACAGCTGTAGGCCATCGGAGCAACGCGTCCTGGTTCATCACAGTTCAAAACAAAACAAATACGGTTAATGACATAGTGTTATTTACAGAATACCATTTTATATGTATTCGTGCATTCCGCTAATGACTTGCTTTTTATATAACAATTTCGCTTTTCATAGCTTTCCGATGTTTAAGTGTGGAATAATTGTGTCACAATCAGATTTAAAGATATGTTTGTGTAGCGATGGGCTCCGTTAGAGATTATCGTAACTTATACTGTTAAACATGTACACTGTTTTGCATTACCTGGACAGTTTGTCTATATTCAACTGGAAATATTTGGAAAATCTGAAGGAAATATTACCTCCGAAACATTGTGGTTTGGCCTTCCTGTTATCAATTACAACATACACACAGTTCAAAATCCAGTTTACAACAGAAAATTCATGTGTGTATACGATACACAGAATACAGCATTAAGATGTTTCAATCTTTTCACTTGAATCGATGATGGACTAAGACTCTCATAATTCATTCAAGAGACAAGGGGGGTATGTGTTGCGGTGCTAAATATAATCCTATTTGTTACGGTGTACACAGCTTTCATCAAACCGTTACCATGGGCATGGTGAACCCGGACTGAGGCACATAACTACGATGATTGTGAATGCAGCAAACTGTGGCGCTTTGGGCGATTGTGCTTCCAGTGACTCCTCATGTCATCTGAGAATGATGGCATTCACAAATCATCAAATCTCAAAAAGCAGAATTGGACACCGGTAAAACAGTATTCTTACACAAGCTTCTTCATTTGCATATTCACAGAAATATATCTTTGTTTGTTTCTCCTCTTTAAACTTTAAAACAAAAGAAATTTAAAATTTGCATGATTTTCTCTAGTTTCCACTTCTCCCGTGTCTCTTTAAATATTGAATAATTTCAAATTGACTTCAATGGCAATCATATTACAAACGCAATACCTGGTCATATATCAGTTATCTCTGGAAAAGATATTATGACAATTCTTCGTTTGCCTTACTGACAGGCGATTTCTATTTATTTAACATAAAAGACTGGAATAATCAAATTCTATACATACAAGTAGTGATGACTCTTTTTATAGTGGGAGCTAACCCTTGGTATGCTAAGCTTTTTCGTAAAATGTCTCATTTTCAGTGGCCCTTCATATTACTGCCCTGAAATGTCTAACAATTGTTAAGATAGGGCATTCTTTTGCAATGGCTTTATAAGTTCCATAATAATTTCAGTAGCATTTCTCCATGCTGCGCTCGACAACCTCATGACCCAGTTTGATGATTCATCTTATAGCGGCATGAAAGGTTTTATGTTGCTGAAAGGAGAAGAATATATTAAAAAATATTTAAAACTGCTTTCTCCATAGCGTAATTACTAGACCACGAGGAAATATACGTCCACACGTCATTCTGTAAAATCAATTTTCGCTGAAATCGCTGTACGCATTCTGAATTTTACATGACCCCCTTCATCATATTTGTATGTCAATTGGCGAATACTGTAGCCTTGTCTTTTAGCATATATAGCAGAAAAGGGACGCTGAACTTTTATCAAGGGGATGTTTAAAGCCATTGTCAATAGCATGAAAATAGCATGAACTGCATTTTCCTGTCATTGGAAAATGTAACGGTTCTATTTCGATGGTCGGGCCGGTGTCGCGTTGTTGTTATCACCATGCAGTCATCAAGTACCCAATTAGGAAGAGTGTGTCTATTTTTATGACACTTAGAAATACGTTCTTAAAAGTTATGAGAAAATGTGGGTTTTGTGGTCATAACATAAACACATGTTCACAAGGCAGATAATTTATGGATGATAACGTCTTTATTGCGAGGAACACATTGTTCTGGAATACATGCTTACCCATTCATCGGGTGCATGAATGCAATAATGCAACGAACATGATACATTTACATGTAAGAAACAAAAGTAATTAGACAACAAACACCGTCTCGAAAGGGCGTGGCATTGTCGATTTCAATCAAAAGGACACATGTATTTGGCAGATATCTTCCCTGGTCACAGTTCTTGGCCGGCAGGTTTCTCTTGATTTCCTTGTGTCTTATAGTTTCCTTTGAACCCAATTGTTGAGAGCACCTTGCCAGCTTCCCTTTCTCTGGTGTTGAGTTAGTTGATTGGTTGGTTTGTTGTTTAACGACGCACTCGGCAATATTCCAGCTATATGGCGGCGGTCTGTAAATAATTGAGTCTGGACCAGATAATCTAGTGATCATCAATCGACATCAACATCAATCTACGCAATTGGGATGCGATGACATGTGTCATGAATACCTGGCTACCCGATCCCGCTAGTGGCCTCTGACGACAATCCTGGGTTGCGGAAGGCAAAAGCTAGCCCGGGTATTCATGGCTACTCTGTTGTTGAGGGGGCTCAGGGTATTGGTTCCCACAGGGGCATGGAATATGGTGGATATTACGCTGCCGATATCTCTGGCATGCTTACGCTGCCGATATCTTTTTACATTGACTAATTCTCGTTCATTCAATGGTGCCAATGTTCGTGTTCAAACGCCATCATCCATATCATTCAAGAAACAGACGCATTGTTTTTCAGCAATGTTCTTCACGCCTATTATGGATTCCGACACCTACACGTTCGTGTTCACGTTGTAACGCCATCATCCATGTCCTGATATATTGGGAAATAAACGGATTGCTTTTTCGAAACGGTATTATCGTTATTCAATCCTAATATCATTATCGATTCTTAGTATGAAGTCCCTCAATTCTCTTTGGGATCAGAAAATCAATTCGTTGTAGTAAAACATAAAATCCAGGATTCCCTGATTTCACTAAATTCAAAATAAACGGATGATGTTTCAGAAACGGACTGATTGGTGGCTGCCTGGACTATATAATCTTCAGATTATCATTTTGGAACCCTTTGTGCAGATTTGGCACTGCTGGGGCATGTGTCGATAGAAGACCCAGAGCCTGATCACTTCACAAAAGACTCGGATATGATGTAGCTTCAATGCCACGTCTCAACGTATTAAGAACACTTATACTGACTAGGAAGAAGCATCGATATTCGATTCAAGGATAGGGATATTTCTGTATCTAATTGGCAAGATCCACTTTGGAGTAGGAGTTTCATCATGTTCTGATCGTAACATGAGATCATATTGTATTCAGCACAATCAATAGCAGAAAGGCATTATTAAGAGACTTCAAATTTGAGGTGGTATTTTCATATCGTAATATTGTAAAACTTTATGAAACAATATATCATAGCATGTTTTGTTTTATGGGCTGGTCCATACAGCAGTTAGTGAGTGAATGACTCAAACGACATTCGAGAGCTGTCTTCCCCCAAGTGAAGAAAATCATCAAATAGTTCTTGACAGCTGCTCTTTCTGCTACAGACTGCAAAGTGATGCCTTAACTGCACGTAGTATAACAGTGAATGCAAAATTAAACCAATGCTTTCATAATTGTATGAAAGTTGAACGCTCTTTTAAATAGTTATGTGCGTGCTTTCTCTCACGGTGACTGTGTTGTGTGTAACGCAGCTCGGTGAAATATTCCAGTTATATCACTGCGAGTAAGGTTAATGTGATAGGAAAGCCCGAAGTCATCATGGGGACCCGGGATTCGAACCCAAGTTCAATAGGTTTTTGGCGTGCCTATAATAACCCATCTCTGAAGTGCGATTTGTAGCGCCTTAAACAAGTGAGTCACAAGTGCGGTGAATGACGGTGATATGTACTTTGTAAGTAAACTCTGTCAAAAAAGAAACGCAACCCCTGTCCTCAGATATGAAAAATTCGTTTGAATGAAGTTATTGCTTCCAAACTAAATTTTATTCGAATGTATTGAAATGATACACGTAATTAATGAAGATTACCATCCAAACAACTGCATTTGTACGCATAAGTGTATTTTATTGCTTATTCCGTCACAACGCATGAAATGACCCTCATGGTGACTTCGCACAAAAAAAACACATGCAAATCATGAAAATGGCAGTTAATGTAGGGGTGTATAAAAGCCCATGTGCTTCCGTATTATATTCATTCATTTGTCGCCGAAAAGCTGTGTTAAAAATGCCACGATTGAGTGCTGCCGACCGAAATATCGCCATTGGTCGTGTTCAAGCCGGAGAAAGTTTTGGAACTGTTGCACGGCACCTAAATGTTCACAAAACAACGATATCCCGACTTTGGAGCCGCTACAACAACTTCAATTTGACCAACGATCGCCCGAGAAGTGGAAGGCCAAGAATCACGACCCCCCGTCAAGATCGGTACATCCGGGTCCATCACCTGCGTAATCGGCATGCCCTACCAACCGTGACTGCCACAGAAATACCAGGTTTGAGGAGAGTGTCAGCTCAAACGATTAGGAACCGTCTGAAAGAAGCGGGTTTACGTGCCTGTAGACCAGTTGTTGGACCTGTACTACGCCCCCTACATCGACGCCGACGACTCAGGTGGTGCAACAACGTAAGGATACGGACTTTACAAAACTGGAGGCGAATCTGGTTTTCTGATGAATCACGTTTTCTTTTGCAACGTCACGACGGAAGACAGCGTCTGTATAGGAGACGTCATAAACGTTTTGCGCCCATCTGCGTCCGACAGGTGGACAGATTTGGCG